CACGGAAAAGATTGTGGTCTCTGATCCTGTAGAAAACAGTGCTTACACCTGGAGAGGTCCGGTTGAGGCTAAATGCACCGAAAAATACTTGTAGGAAAATTCAATAGATCGCAGCACTATCACAGGGGAATTTACTTTACTGATAACGTCTGAATCAATGGTCCGATTTTCGATTTATAAACGGCATTTGGCGCCTTTTTAAAATAGAATTTACGCTACGACGATCTTTTTCCAAAAATCTAGCAAAAACGCGATTCGTTCTCAAACTTACGAGAACAAATTTAAAAATGTGGCCTTATAGCGCGATGGCGACATGTTTCCTGAATCCAACGCCGTGACAATCATGCAAATCGGACAAATAGGAGCGTCGTAAAGTGAAATTTACGAAAACCATCCTCGCCCCTTCCCACTTCGCTCTTCTGCGCGTCGTAAACCCACCCGACGGTTGTGGGCCTCTGTCAGCGCGGCTCTGGCAACCGGCAGGCCCCGGCGTCGGGTGCGGCAGCCCGACGGGAGGACGGAGAGGGGTACTTTTGCGGGACCGCAAGCCACACACTCGGTTTTAATGCGTTCGTCACTTTGCATCTCATATATTTTTCAGCGGGATGTTCAAACTAAGAGATTCTATACTACTCATACAGACCGAGTAAGACGGTCTGTTAAATAGTAGTGCATAAAGTACTTTTTCAAATATTCCGTCTTCTTGAATACCATTTTAAAATTTTTTGATGCCTTACTCAAGAATATGATTCCGATTTTTAACTATTTTGTTTTAAAAAGGCACTATTGTGTAAGATATCCGCATCATTCATCGTCCTCGACATCTTATTTTAGATATATTTTACTTCTAAGGTCTTCGTTATCACTTCCACCTTGGTTAAGACTTCTGTTGTCAAATACGTAAAATGAGCTGGAGTATATCGCACGAGTTTCTGTTATCACTACAACTCTATTGTTATCTCAAAAGACGTTTAATCTGCTTTAAGCGTTCATGCTGGTGGGAAATCTCTTTTTCCAAGTAAATACGTGAAGCTATTAAAAAGGTTTTCGACTATCGGACAAATTAAAAAATGCATTTCTTGGCTGTCCGGGTGACTGTCGCTGTGATAGGCAGTTTTTGCCGACGTTTCGACCATTCTTGCATGTCTTCTTTCCTCAGGGCTGGTATGCTGTTAACATCTGATGTATGGACATGGGTAACCACCGACAATCAAATGGTCGAAACGTCGGCACAACAATCTTCCGACGCGCGTCTCCGGACAGCAGATCATGCACATGACTTTGGCGAGGAAAGCCTACGATTGTGGTTAAAAGGTGGTAATATAGCGGTCTACCGGCAGCTGTATTGCTGACGCCGTAAGCAAGCATCGAAATAAGATAGTATGAGAATCATGACTTATCCCCAGCGTACTTGTGTAAGTTTTTTTGATATAACAATATTAATTTGTTTATTTTTTGTATAATTATTTGAAGGGAATAAAATAATCTCCTGGTGCAGTCATTTCATACCAGACTCACGCTAAATAAATAAAGGAAATGATGAAATTGATAACTCCTAGATGTTTGCCTTGCATTTGGAGGCGTGTTTTTCCCCTCCAAGTCTCTGTTTTATAAAAAGGTGGTTCTTCTAAAAAAGTTATCTGTAAAATTGCATCAATGCAAAAACCAGCTTAGACGTGGCTCTTTCGGACATTAAGGACACAATGCATATAAATAACTATGGAACATTCCAAACGAGTTTAAAAACGAAGGAAATCTTTTTCTGTGAGAATGATCTTAGGATATGCTTTACTCTAAACCAAAATTCTTGTTGAGCCAACTAATATCCTTGTTGATCCAAACAATATCCTTGTTGAACCAACCAATTTCCTTGTTGACCCAACCAATATCCTTGTTGAGCCAACCAATATCCTTGTTGGGCCAACCAATACCCTTGTTAAGATACCCATGATCCTTGTAAAGCTAACTATGACCCTAGTTGAGCAAACTATGACCATGTTAAACCAATTATCCTTGTTGAGCCAACCAAATTCTTATTGCGCCAACCAATATCCTTCTTGAACCAACAATGATCCTTTGTTAAGTCTACCGTGATCCTAGTAACCAAACTATGATACTTGTTAAACCAACCATAATCCATAAGAGGAAGATCAACCCAGCAATCTAGAGATCGACCCATCGAGTGAATCAAGAGGGGGATCGACTCTGCATGTCGAACAAGTGGGGATCGACACAGCAAGTCGTTCAAGTGAGGGATCGACCCAGTACGTCGATAAAGTGGGTGATCGACCCAGCAAGTCGATGAAGTGGGTGATCGACCCAGTAAGTCGATCAAGTGGGTGATCAACCCAGCAAGTCGATCAAGTGGGTGATCGACCCAGCAAGTCGATCAAGTGGGGATCGACCCAGCAAGTCGGTTAAGTGGGGGATCGACCCAGCAAATCGTTCATGTAGGGGATTGACCCAGCAAGTCGATCAAGTGGGGATCGACACAGCAAGTCGTTCAAGTGGGGGATCGACCCAGCACGTCGATGAAGTGGGTGATCGACCCAGCAAGTCGATGAAGTGGGTGATCGACCCAGCACGTCAATGAAGTGGGTGATCGACCCAGCAAGTCGATGAAGTGGGTGATCGATCCAGCAAGTCGATCAAGTGGGTGATAGAACCCAGCAAGTCGATCAAGTGGGCGATCGACCCAGCAAGTCGATCAAGTGGAAGATCGAACCAGCAAGTTGATCAAGTGGGGGATCGACCCAGCAAGTCGATCAAGTGGGGATCGACCGTTCTCACTGTTGTTCGTCTTTTTGCATCTGAAGATAACATGCTGTAATAATGTGCGGCACATTCCTAAACGACCGAAACGAGATTGCGTGATATTTATGAACTTTCATACAAAAATAATTTTGATCCTAAAAGATAAGATAGATATCTAAATTATAATTTACAAAGTCTGTTTATTTATTTCATCAAAATCACAAAGGATATTATTTAAACATTTCAAATACAAAGACCTAAGAGATAGCATTTATGGAAAAACATTATACGCACTTCTTGAAAAGTATGACATGTGGCCAGTTGGTCATTTTAAATATTTTTAAAATAATCTAACCTATATAATAATCTAATTTAACAGGAGTAGATCTAGATGAAAAAATCCAAAAGTTCCAGAAAATATACTGCTTGCTCGACCGCAAGGGAGAAAGGATAATCACGCTGGCACCAGAATTTCTGCATCATCGGTATATTGTAGAGTTCCATGGTTTATCTTCCTACAATCTTGATATTTCTCTTTGTACGATTTAATCTCGTAAAGTAAAAGATGAAATTACGTGACATATTTCGTAAATACTTATTACAGTTTTTATTTTCGATCTATTACAGGCAAATAACACACACACACACACACACACTCTCACCCAAACACACATTGAGATTTTCGTCGAGAAACAAAATATTCCTATATTTTTATTTCAGTTATAATTGAATATTTATATAATGACACGGTCTGTACACGGAGCAAACGGTTGGGAAGTGCAGGTGTTGCAGTTCAAGTGCCCGAGAGCGGGCGTTAGTCTGGATGCAGTTCTCGGAATGCACCTAGCAAGCGGAATTCGTTGTACACGGCTAAAACAAATTAACGAATGTGTTTGCCGACCGGCCATGCTCCAGCGCGGGAGGCACTGTCACGTGAACTAGTGGTATATAAGTTAGCGGCGAAAATCGCTTGGCGGGATTAGATAACGAATGAAATCTTCGTGCTGATGATCATTTGTCCACCCATGCGGTTGTGCTCGCAAGCCTCGACTATGTGAGCTGTCTCTGTCGCCATAGGACTACAGGCCAGAAGCGCGACGTGAAATAAGATAAAAATTAATTGTCCAAGCAATCAATGGCAAAATACTATCTTTCTGACTTCAGGGAGTGAAGGGAGGAATGAGTTCGATACATGCGACTGACACGCGTTCTAAAGCAAGCGTTTATGTGTAGAACGCGAGGTAGAAGACACAGAGGCAGATCGTTATAGAAATGAAATTGGTAGAAGTCAGAACAGGTCATGAACCCATCCTTGGAGTAGAGGAGAAGAAGATGATCATAAGGGTGTCAACTCTGTTGTTTGTTAATACGAGCATAACTGCGTCATCGCAGGCCAGTACCTATAAAGCTAAAAAAGGTTACAGTTATTTTTTAATTGCTGAATTATTTGCAGAGCTAAAAATTAATCTTTGACGTAGCACCGCTTTAACCGCCGGGTCTGACCGTGCCACCGCACTGACAGAGGGCCCACAACGGGCGGGTGGGTGACGCAACGGCGCAGAAGAGGAAGTGGGGGGGGGGAGGGGAGGTGTTTTCGTAAATTTCACTTTACGACGCTCCTATTCGTCCGATTTGCATGATTGTTACGGCGTTGGATTTAGGAAGCATGTCGCCATCGCGCTATAAGGACACATTTTTAAATTTGTTCTGGGAAGTTTGAGAACTAATTTCAAATTCGCGTTTTTGCTAGATTTTTGGGAAAAGGTCATCGTAGCCTAAATTCTATTTTAAAAAGGCGTCAAATGCCGTTTACAGATCGAAAATCGAACCATTGATTCAGACGTCGGTAAAGTAAATTTTACTTATTTTGGTGCTGCCACGTGGTGGCTACAAATAGTACTAGTGTCGGGACATTTAGCCTTAAGGGGAACTGTTGATGCACACGTTCTTAATTTACAAAACAAACAAACAAAAGCTAGCAGTTTACCCGGCGTTGCTCGGAAATTTGTCACCCCCTCCTATATCCACTTCGCCAGCCGTACCTACTTCAGTCGCCCCGATTCACTCCTTTTTTCTTGGCATAACTTCGAGATGCGCGAGTGCAAGAGGAGGGGCACGAACACACTGGCAAAAAGCTGCCCTGAGAAACAATTTAAAACAACTAACGTTAACGTAGTTGGAATGAACACCTTTGAGGTTTTGGAGTGAACTGGTTACTGTCGAAATGCATCGAGCGTGGAATGAGAATGCAACGGACGCCCCCGTGGCTAAAGCAAGGCTGGAGCCGTGAGGGGAGGCTGGAGGGCGGCGCGCGTGTTGCAGACGCGCTGGAGAGCGAGCAGGCGGCGCTGGAGCGCGCGCAGCGGCGGGAGGAGGCGGCGGCGCAGCTGCTCAGCCGCAAGCGCGAGGACGTCGAGCGCCTGCGCGCGCAGCTCGCCGTCCAGGCGCGCGCGCGCGAGCAGCACATGTGAGTAGCCGCTGCTCGGCAGGGCGCTTTTCACGTTCGCAAGGCCAGCCGCAGGAGGAGGCGCTCGGGCGCAGTCGGCTCTGTGCGAGTGGCACGTGGGCCACTGTGGCCAGTGCGGCCCAAATTCGTGCATTTTAAATCTCTCTCAAGGACAAAGGAACGAACGAAATAAGTATTCAGATGGTTTTGTAACGAGCTAACGAAGGCTTATAAAGAAATCAAATCACCTTTGAGTTCATTTAATCACAGATTATACGACTGATATTGGAGGTCATTTAATTGACACGATTCCAATACTTTTACATACTGTATTATAGTATATGGATGAAAAGTAAAAAAAAAGATTTATTTTATTCATTAAAGTATTAGTATACATGTATCTTACTTATTTTCTATTTTTCGCATTAATATTCCTATTTTGAAAAAAATGCGTTTCTCGTTATTTTGATCTCCTGGGTTTCGAGCTCTAGGGTCATTGGGTGGAAGTGAGTTTGAATATGTTGCTTTAATCAACTTTTGAGAAGGCATTTTATTACGCTAACATTGAAATAGTAAATTATCTTGGGTTTTCCAGAGATGATTATTGTGCTGAGATGGAGAAAATAATTCGCGAGGCTCGAGCTGCACCAGCAATGTATGTAAGTATTATTCCAATGAAGTCATGTCTATCATAACCACTGAATTGTGATTTCAACTGATGTATAAAAAATCATGAAAAGTGCTTAAATGGTGTGGAATTTTAACAAAAAACGTAAAGATTTGGGGAGGGGGAAAAGTAGTCAACAATGACTCATCCCAGTGTAGTTTTTTCTCTGTTTAGGTAAGGCGCTGTTTGTTTTATTTGAAATTTTTGATAGTACTATAACCAATCTTAATCGTAACTGATAGTTCCGTCTTTCAACGGTTATCGGCTGTTACAAAACAATGAGTAGTTTCTATTAAAATGTTAAAGTGTGCTTTGAAAGTTCACAATAAAATAAATATAAAATATTTTGTAGTTGTTCGGTTCGGACTTTTTCGGTTGTAGAAAGTTACAAGAAAGAGTATAAATTAAAATAATTGTTTAAACTTTTGTTTCATTACAAAATTAGGTTTAATTATCGCTACTCTGATGAATCAAGTCGTAACGATTCATGCAAATGCCGTAAAAGATATAATGAGAATTCAATGCGTTTCACCGAAGTAGAGGTATCAACAACAGTTTTCTAGAATTCTTCAATAATATCTAGGAAGAACTGACCATGCATTGTGCCAATTGATTGTCTTGTCGCGAGAAAAGCTCGTTTTTAAGAGAGACCAGGAGACCGAGACGCGTGAAATGTCACCTCGATTGTTGGACAGGTAGAGATCCAACCGGACGGACGCATGCTATTGTTCGAGTAGTATGTAGAGTATGTTGAGAACACATGTATGCCCTTGTCGTACCTGCAAATCTGAAGCTCTTTGCCCGTCAGAAAACGCTAGCCACGCATTTGCGCGAGTGGTTGTGGTTGCGGTTGTGGTGCGCAGGAGGAGGAGCAGCTGGCGCGCGCGGCGGAGTTGGAGCGCGCGCGCCATCGGCAGCAGGCCCAGCGGCTGCAGGAGCTGGACCGCGAGCTGGAGGCGCTGCGCCGCGAGGCGGCGCTCGAGATGACCGCGGCCCTCGACGACGACCTGAGCGTCTGCACCGAGCGCAACATGCCCGCCTTCCTGCAGCGACTCATGTGAGGCCCCATCGCGACAGTCGCGACAATATAAATTATCTAGCATATAAAACACAATGTTTGTTGGTTGGTTCGTGCTTAATGCGCTCCCGTACCATCCGTCCGATTGCGATTAAACTTTGTCAACTTATTGCTTACACTCCCAGAAAGAATATAGGTATAGCACGAAGGGAATGCCTGCGAACATAGACGCGCGTTTAAGATGATTTTATGCTGATTCAAGCGCTTTGAATGGGGCGCTTGACGCAACCCCTTACACAGTGAAGTACGATTAGAAAGACATCTTCATTGCGTATTCTGCCCCTGCGATTGTGAAATTTCTCCCAGAGAGACATACAGAGTGCCGGGTCGACTAGTAAAGAATAAGAACAATAATAGTACAGTTGACTCCGGTTATAGTAAACTTCTGGGGACTCAAATGTTTCGTTCAGTATATATGAGATTCACTATACATGAGGGTGTCAAAATAAAAATAGAATTTCTCCACAATGATTGATTTTATTAATATATGTAGATATAGAGGGAATACATTAACAGCACGAACTGAAAATTTCAATATGTTTATTTGTTCTTTAAAAAATGAATAATTTTCAATTGTTTGCTTCGTATATTTTTCGTTACTAATTTCTCTAGATCCTTCTCCAGAGTTCGCGCTCTCGCCATACTTGATCCTGTATTGTCCACTGTCTCAAACTCGGTCTTGGCACCCTTCAATGCATCTTCCACAGTTGCAACACTGCCCCACTCTTCGAAGACCCTTTTACTCATCTAATAACATACGAGATCTTTTCGGTAGAGGCGAGGCGCAAGCGGCTAATGAAACTGATCGCTTTTCCGCGCGGCATGGCGGGTATCGGGAAGCTGTGGCAGTCGTGCGCTTGCTGTCGCCTACGTAGAATACAACGCGCTTTGACTCGCGGAATATCACGTAACATCAAGCTTGAAACTGAGTCGCATGAAGTCATCAGTAAGGTCCCCATTCCGGGTCCGCTACGTTCACCTCGGGGGGGACTTATTCTATTATGACCTTTAGCCGATCTTTTTTTCGAGCTGCCTAATATTGGAGTTTGTGGCACTGACACGATATATTCCTTTCCAGGAGGGAATTAATTTCCAGTTCCTTGTATTTCCTATAATCGTGGTTCATTATAATGGGATCTTCTTATGCTTATTTGTAATGTAAGTGAAACGGGACCAGTGACTTAATTCACTATAACCGAATTCACTACAACCGGAGTCGACTGTAATAATAATGAGAATAGTTATAACAAAAATAGCGATTAATACGAATTTTGCCAGCTAGTGGGTTCCAGAGCTGGGCCCTGTTGCTATTCATCTGCGCTTGGAGGAAGGGAGACTCGTAGCGAGCACGACGAATTCTTATCACCGTACCTGGTCCTTGTCTTCGACACACAACTACGTGATGATATTTATTGGAAAGGTACACTCATTTGGTTTTTGTTCTGACCGGGTATCGAACCCAAGTCCGCTTCATAAAAAGAATGAACCCTGTCTGTGAACCTCCCGAGTGGTTTGCGTAATAATAATAATAATAATAATAATAATAATAATAATAATAATAATAATAATAATAATATCAAATTCATGATGAGATTGCACTTCTAAACATGAGGAATCAAACGTAGTATCAAGTACTTGGTGCTAAATCTTTTAAGGTACAAAAATCGATACGCCAAGAATACAGAGAGAACAGTTATGAGTTTACAGTTTTGCTACCTCAAAATTTTCAGAGAAAAAGAAAGGAATTTTCGAAACGTGAGGGTTTTCACCGAACATGAGACCTGCATCATTCTCTTAAACTCCTTCACGCTATCGAACAACAAAATGTAATCACAGGCGATGGAGACATGTTTTTGAACAATTCAAAAAGAGGTCACGTCATAAGCCAGATCAATTGGGGAATATCAATTTTGGAGAAAATCTGCTGAACGGTTTAGCCGCTAGCGTTGTTCACAGACGGACACACGTTTTGCCGTCATTCGATTGTTTAGTGTGAAGGCCCCACAAAACATGGGTTTTGGCTTCGCCATGTCATAGAGGATTTTCCCCTAAATTTAGCAACTGGACTCCTATCCACTTCTTCGTTACCAGGGATCTTAATAAGTTTTTCTACCGCAAATTCCCAGCATTACATAATACTTCGTACATAGTATTTCTACTTCGTAGTGAGAAAGTAAAGAAACTAGTAGTACCGGTACCTCACCAAGAAGCCCCTGCGGCGTAGCCCAAAACTGCTGCAACACTGACCGGGAGTTCTAGTGTTCGAGCCCCGACGTGGTGGATATTAGGTAGATAGCTACATCGAATTCAGTTGTCTGGAGAAGAATTCTGGTGTCCGGCTTCTCTGATAGTCTCCGATCCACACTTGCCGAATTCCGAAGCAGTTGCCTCACAGAGGAGCGTAGAGCACGCGCGATCCGTCCCCTCCTCTCCTCTCACACAAACACGTTTACACGAGTCGAGAGCCGAGGGAGAGCTTAGAGCGTGAGACTGCGCAAACCGGTGGGTAGATTTCAGGTTCCAGCGGTGAGGAACTTCGCCATCTCCGGGATAGGTCATTCCCCAAAGTAACGTGACTAGTAATAACGAGAGCATTTGCCGTGCCCAGAGCCGGGAGTGCAAGCGTGTGTGTGTGTGCGCGCAGCGAGCAGCTGGACCGCGAGTCGGCGGAGAACGAGCGCGAGATCAGCGCCATCGACGCGCAGATCCGCGCGGTCGAGGCCGAGACGCAGCAGCTGACGGCCGAGGTGCAGCTGCTGCGCGAGAGCCCGCAGCGCGCAGCGCAGGCGCGCGCCGCCTCCATCGCCGCCTCCGCCTCGGCCTCGGCCTCCACCGCCCCTCCGCCCTGGGCTCTCGCCCTCGCCCACGCGCAAGCCCAGGCCCAGGCCCAGGGCCAGGCCCTGGCCCACGCCCACGCCCTGGTGCGCCACGTCGACCAGCCGCGCCTCCAGGACTAGACGGAGGTATCGTATTTTTTTAATTGATTTATTTATTTTCAACCCAAGCACATTCCTTGAGGGCAAAGGCCAAACAGAAAGGAATTCATAAATCTAAACAAAACAGACCGAGACAATAAAAATACATAAATACCTAAATGGTACCAAGGAAGAATTTGCACATACCAGCATGTGAACGTGCTGTAGTATTATTACATGTGCAACAGCAACGTATCTCACATCGATTACCACACCATAGAACACATACATACACTATTAATTCCGAACACATGCAACACGCGACTCGAAATATACGCATATACACTGATGACATTTCACAACTAGTCCGAATTATATCCTCTATTATGCATCTCAAGGACTTCTCTGTCCCCTACTGCTCGAGAGTACATATGAACCTCATAACCTTAGCAATAGCAACGTGTATGTGCTTCAATGCATTACCAAAGGGGAGGGGACTCCGAAGCCCACGGCATAAATTTCGATTTTTTCATGTTTTTTACGAGTTTTGTAAAGTAATAGATTGACCTTTGAAAGTAATAGATAGACGAACACAATCGACTTTGACAAAATCTGTTACATTTCTATGTCAAATAAAGTATGTTCCGTAAGTATGATAAGTCCGATGTAAGTTCATAACATTACTATATGTAATACATTACATTACTGTATGTATTAATATCTACATTACACTAATATTTAAAATCCTATAAATATTTCCAAAATGTAATCTGAATTCGACTGAATAGTATCAAATATTTTTTATCAATGGCGAAAGTCTCTGTAATAACTCAAATTATTAGAAAGTGTTGTGATAAACCGCATCGGATTTTGATCAAACAAATCAAGGTCAATAATTTTCAGCTTTATACAAAATATAATCTATTAAAAAACAAACAATTATCGGTTTCTCTATGAGCTGCCCTTCCCCCTTGGTAATATTGGAATACTCAAAGGTAATTTGCCGCTGAACTGTCCGCCAGAGAAGTTTGCCCCGTCCATAAAATGAGCCACACTTATGACTGGGTACGGTCAGAGGTGATACTCATCTCGCAACTGGTTGCCAATCCCCTTCCACGAAGATCTGGGTGAATCTCGTGCAACGAGAGACGGAACATGTAGCTTAGAAGTCTGGATTTACTGGTTTTGTTTAGCAAAGTGCACCCCACTGGCGTAACAATTTTTTTTAACTTTAAAATTCTCCCATTTTGTCTATTAATTCCCCGAAAATACACAGCAAATTCTTATTGTAGTGAACATGGTACAAGTAAGACACATTTTCTTTTCAAGGATATGCAAGGTTGGTCTTCAGTATGACGCTAGCTGATAAAATTTACATGTAAGTGTTATTTGTACCTATCCCGTATCTTTTTCTTACAGCAGGGCCGCCGGATGGTTGCTTCCTGTTCTCGAACCAGTTGCCTTGATAACAGGTGACAGATAAATTCGGCTCGCGTTATCCCGTTCAGTGGCACGACGGTGGCTACACTCGGGTTGGTACAGCACGGTTGGGATATTTTTCTCCATGAATCCAACACTTCTGTCTTTCGCTCCGTTCTGTATACAAGTATTGCACTCATTATGTTTTACGTTTCTGGGATTTGACGCGATTTAATCTGTCGGCTCATTCCACAGGAATGATTTGAAAACCAGATGACGCCAGTATGGCACAAATCCGATTGGCACATAAGGACGGGTTGTGGAGTATGAATCACAAAAACCTCAATTAATAATGCAAGAAAGTTAATACTTCCCTCTCCTACCCTCGTCTACTTCTCGTCTCCTCTCTCCCCTTTTATCTCCTACTTAGAAAACCTATTGTTGAAAGATGCAACCTTCTTTAATTCGCTCGTTTGCTTTCTTCTTATTAGCTACCTACTGTTGTACGAAAAGGAATGCAGTTCACTTTTTTAACTTGTGCATTTGATCGTTTCCCTATTTATTTAAATTGCATTCGATATCGACCCTTCTTCTGTTGCTTCTCTCGTTCTACGTCTTCCGACATGACTACATTTTCTAAATTTCACTTTTCATTCTTTTCTCATTTTACATTCGTGTGTACTTTAATCAATCTCCCTCCAATAAATCTCCAGATTCTGGTGGATTTTGCAATGCTCTTACGTTTCATACTTTTCTGCGCTTGTGCCTTTATATGTACAACTAAAGATAGTTTCTTTCCATTTGTTTGCAGCCTTTGGTTTTTTGCTCTACGGACAACGACATGTTACAACGACATGTTACCATCCCAGATCCACAAGTGGTGACTTCAAAGCTAAAAAAAATACTACAAGCAGTCGTTTTTTCATTTTAAATTATTTAATAACATCTTATTCTGCTATTACTTTCATATATAATTTCTATGGTGTATCTCAAGCCACATTGTTTTAATTTCATTGAGTATTAAAAATGTCTATTTCAACAATTTTCAAGGAGACTGTGATTAACAGACTTGTTAAAGTCATTCTGAAATCTCCAGGAATTACCAAATAGAAGCACTGATTTTCTCGTTCTTAGCATTAATGCATTTCTAGTTGTAATGCCGAAGATGGATTGATTGATTGGATTGATCGATCAGTTGATTTTGCTTCAACATTCTGTTTAATGTTACAAGTTTATATTGTAGGTAAATCGGTGTGCGTGAAAATGCCACGGTTGGCCATTTCGTTTTCGTTTCTAAGTATCTTACTATATTTATAACAAATTAAGTTTGAATTCACGTGTTTGAATTTTTAAATTGGGAGCCGATACTTACCTGAATCCTAATCACACCGTTCTACTACGCCAATTTTGTTAACTCATTTTCTTCGAAATAAATATTTCGAAAGACTTTCCCGTTATTTTGTAAATGTATATTTTTATTACAAACTCGCTCAACATCATATTCATACATATTATAAGAGTGTGTTTCATTGACAGTCAGTTATCCCAAAATATAATTGGTTTTTTCGTTAACTCTTATAACGAAATTTAAGTGTATGTACTTTAGTAAGGTAAGGTAACATTTGAGTGATATTTATGAAGTTTACGAGTGAGGTTCATATCTCAAGAATAGTTTTTTTGTCGTAAGATTTTTCAGTTAGTAATTTGACTAGTAAAATTGTAGAATGATTCTCATAAAGTTATATAAAGCTACTTACTCATTTAACTCAGTGTTAGCATTCTGTACTTTTTGTGTGTTTTAGTGTTCATACAAAGCATACAAATTGTGTATTGAAGATGGTTGTTTTTGTGTTAATAAATATATAACAAAAACTTTAACCATTTTTGTTATTCTTAGAATTCATGCTGGAAATATTTTACACCTCGATATCGGGAACAAAACAGATCCACAAGGAAACAGATTAAGAATGTTTTTTCGGAATACCGATCTCAGTACTTTCTTACGATTGAGTAATGTAAAAGGGAAAATAGCACTATACTAGGAATGGTATGAATGAGGTGTTTGAGGTGTTTTCCATATATACTTAGTTAAAGGAAAATAAGTTATGTACTTCCCGACACATCAATCTTTTCCCCAGCCACACACGTTCCCTAAACAGTCATAGTATTTTCGGTGAAACACTTATCTTTTTTTTTCTTTCTTACCCGTTCGGCCTTTCGGTGGTTATTATTTACAAAATAAACATTACATGAAGAACATAACAGTCTTTTCCAGTTACATCAGGGCATAAGTATACTTACTTGAGCATATGTTTCAATCTATACACAGTTTCTCTTTACTTTTTCAAAAATATACATTGAGTAAAAATATCACACTTGTGAATAACACATATATACAGTTATTACAATAAATATAATGTTTATACGTATAACCAGCAATTCATGGCGGCTTTAAGCGATCTTTTAGAAAGTGTGACAATATCCTGGAAGGTGTTTAAGCTGTACGGCCAAGGTTGAAAGTTCGTTTGCTAGGACAAGCTTCAAGCCTTAAATTTTAAAAAATCGATAGTTTATTTATGTACACTTTAATGCCACTAATATTTAATTCTCTTTGGATTTGTGCATTAGGAATAAACCAGGGAGCTTTGGTAACCGGTCTTAGAAATTTGTTTTGGATTATTTGCAATTTATTAATATGCGTGTTTGCAGCGCCTCATCATACTGAGCACGCATAGGTGAGCGACGGGCAAATTATAGATTTAAAAATTGTCCCTACATATTCTATTCATAATGCAAATTTTTTATTTATTAATGGGTAAAGTTTGACCATTTTTGCATAGCAATATCAACTATGTGGTTCTGCCATGTTAATCTCCTATCTGATTTAACTCTTACGTATTTGATGGGTTGGTTATTGTTTAGGCACAGAACAGGCTTGTTACTGATTGTTACCTCTGGAGGAGATGCGACTCTTTTAAGAGGGAAAATTTTAGCTTGTGATTTGTTTAGGTTTATCTTGATTCTCCATTTATCAGTCGATTTAATTAAGGTATTTAAATCATTTTGTAGATATTTCAGGGCAATATTCAGTTCTTCATGTTGTGAGAGGATGGCAGTGTTAATTGCCTGCTATACCTACAAATTTGAAAACCTTCCTATGAGAAAGGGGGATCTTTGGGCTTCACGCTCCTCTCTCACAGCTGAGAAATACAATACAAAAGAGTATTGTGTGGATTTGTAGCCCATGCAGAGTCCTTCCATACCCTTGTTTTTTTGTAATGTTATATTTAGTGAAAAAATAACATCTCTACGAAAATTTACAGAAACTAATATCGTTCACGTGCAAAAAATACGTATATTATTCATATTACTAATTAGATGCTTTGATGTACAGAAATGCAAATTTTGAGTGAAATTTTTTTTCAAACTTGGAATAAAAGTCTAGTTTTGCAGGTTAAAGCTTAGAATACAAAAGTCGTGTTCCCCAGAGGATACAAAAGTCAGGTTTTAAGGTTTTAAAACGCATTGTTTCCGCCGCTCCCTCTAGTGTAATTTTTGGACGACCACAAAATAATTCGACTTAATTTTTAAATAGTTACCATTAATTGGAATGTATAAAATGA